AAAGCACTGTGTATATGTGTGTGTATAGTGTTTTTTTGATGCACCCTGTCAGCCCAAATATGGGGGGAAGAAATCTTTTGCCTGATGAGAGCTAATCAGCTCGAAATAGCTATCCCAGTCCCCCTTAATTCTTTGTTAGCAATCCAAAAATTTAGGATATATATATAATAAAGTTGGAAGGGACCTTGGAGGTCATCGAGTCCAACCCTACACCATTTCGGACAAATGGTCTGATATATATATATGTGTGTGTGTGTGTGTAATTTTTTTATAAAAAGTTGGAAAAGGATTGCAGAGGGCAAAGCTTCGTGGGGATAAAAATGGATATGCCTTTTGCAGCGTTCACGGTTGCCAAGAAATTATTTCCTTGCCCCCATTGAATCCGGGAGAAAAATAACATCTTTGTTAAAAAAAGGAATCTCCAAACAGGGCCTCGTGTCGTTAGGATTGTCAAAATATTTAGATATGGAGATAGGATATTGTGTGTGATGGGAGGGAGAGTCGCCTTGCAATCCAGACGCCCCAACAGAATAAAGCTATCTTCAATAATAGCCACTTTGTGCAAACGTATTTATATCTGCCTTTGGCTTGCTTGTAATTTAAGGGCAAATGGCACGGAAACTTTTCCACTTTGCCTCCGGGGGAATTTGGAGACTTCAAGCCCTTTGTTCAGTTTTTGAGGCGGAGGGTACATTAATGACTTTTTATCCAAATGTTTGGAACGTGGCTCAAGATCCCAAAACAAACAAACTCCGTTGGAATCCCAGCAACAAAGTTTTATTTAAAAATAAGCATTTGCAAAGGCTTGGTGGACTGAAACACACGCAGGGGTCCAGCCACATCTTAAAGAGCTGTTTGACACATTTTTACATCCTGCCCCCGACGCAGATTCCCCCCCTCCCCTATCCCACTCAACGCCCCTTCCCTAATCATCCAATAAACTATCCGGACCGCCTAAAACCACTTCCCCCCCCCCCAATGTTCCAGGAAGCCCCTTTGTGCACATCCGATCTATCACCATCTAATTTTCTATTAACAAAGCTCTATTCTTATAGTTATCTCTGTATTTGTTTGCGGTTATACCGAATGCTCCAACACTGGAAGCTTTTAAGAAGAGACTGGACAGCCATTTGTCTGAAATGGTATAGGGTTTCCTGCCTGAGCAGTGGGTTGGACTAGATGACCTCCAAGGTCCCTTCCAACTTTATTATTATTATTATTATTATTATTATTATTATTATTATTATTATTATTATTATTATCATTATCATTATCATTATCATTATCATTATCATTATCATTATCATCATTATCATTATCATTATCATTATCATTATCATTATCATTATTATTATTACTACCTTAAGCTCTAAACTTTACCTCAGTTTTTGTGTTTCCTCTAATTGCTGTTTCAGTTAGCTAGCAACTTCTGCTTTTCTTATTTGTATATAGTTAACTTGTTTGAGTTTATGACTTTCATGTGGCTTCTCCTACAGACCTTTAAATTCATTAGAAATTTCTGATTAATAATCTATTCCTTTCACAAATAAGCCACAAATTAATAGGACGTAATAGGATAACAGAGTTGGAAGGGACCTTGCGGGTCCCTTACTCCAACCCCCTGCTCCTCAACTTACGACCACCACTGAGCCCAACATTTCTGTTGCTAAGCGAGACGCTTGTTAAGCGAATTTTGCCCCCTTTTACGACCTGCCTTGCTGCAGTTGTTAATAACACGGTTGTTAAGTGAAACTGACTTGGCTTGTGAGGAAGGTCGTAAAAGGGGATCACGTGACCCCGGGACACTGCAACCGTCGTAAATATGAACCAGGTGCCAAGCATCACTTGACACAGGGATGCTGCAACGGTCGTAAGGGTGAAAAACGGTCAAAAGTCACTTTTTTCAGTGACCTCGTAATTTTGAACGGTCGCTAAATGAACTGTTGTAAGTCGAGGACTGCCTGTACCATTCCAGCTTTCTCTGCCATTGCAAAAAAAAAAAGGGGGGGGTAGTTTGAGGGAGTGGAAGCAAGGAGAAGTTGTGATGCCTTTATTAACTATTGGAGACAAATTTACTAAAAAGGCGTCTCTTTCAAATATTTTTGCTTGCTTACCTCAGACACAGACGCATATATTTATAACTTGTGGACTTCAACTCCCAGAATTCCTCAGCCAGCCCCGCTGGCTGAGGAATTCTGGGAGTTGAAGTCCACAAATCATAAAAGGGCCAGGTTTGAAGACCCCTGAGCTACAACTTCCAGAGGCAAGCCGTTCCACTGGTTAATTGTTCTCACCGTCAGGAAATTTCTCCTTAGTTCTAGGTTGGATCGCTGCTTGATTAGTTTCCATCCATTGCTTCTTATCCTGCCTTATGCTGCTTTGGAAAATAGTTAAATACTTAAATCCAATATTTGGAAAATAGTTAAATCCAATATTCTTTATTAATTCCCTGTCCCACCTGGGTGGTGGTAATGGGAATGTATGTGTATGTCTCTTGATCTTTGAGGTGATATTCCTGTAAATTGTCTTCTTCTCTCCAGGCATTCTGCTCCTTCAGTTAGTCTCCGATGCACTTCTAATCTGATCACTCAATCAGTTATAGTGTGTCTGAATCCTTCGTAAGGTGTAGTATCCAGACCATACTGTACTTTTCAACTTCAGCCACTTGAAGATGGGTGGATTTCAACTCCCAGAATTCCCTAGCCGGCAGGCTTCGCTTCCCAGCTGGGGAATTCTGGGAGTTGAAGTCCACAAGTCATAAAAGGGCCAAATTTGAAGGCCCCTATTATAGCTGCTCCATCATTGGAGGATTTTAAGAGACTGGACAGACACTTGTCTGAAATGGTATAAGGCAGGGTCTTCAAACTTGGCCCTTTTATACTTGTGGACTTCAACTCCCAGAATTCCTCAGCCAGGCATGCTGGCTGAGGAATTCTGGGAGTTGAAGTCCACAAGTCATAAAAGGGCCATGTTTGAAGACTCCTGGTATAAGGTCTCCTGCTTGACCAGGAAGACCTCCAAATTCCCTTCCAACTCTGTTATTCTGTTAACTGAGGAGGAAGAATCCAGATGAATGTTAAGAAGGAGGGGGGGAAAATACTGAATATACCCGATAGAACCGTTTATCCCAAGATTGTAATTATCTGAAGATATTCTAGTTTCTGCTCCAGTTTTAAGCCAAGTACACAGTACACACTTCCAGATGGGTGTGTTAAGCACCTCCTTGTTGATTCCTCTATTTATTGCACTGTCGTCTTCCTGTAGTGCAAATTGACTCTCCAAATTTGCAACCGCTTGTTTCTGAAGTTGTCGAATGCCATAAGTGTGGGTTACCTCAGATTAAGTGTGCTTTAGAAGGAGTGAGGGAGCGTCTTCTTTCCTTCTTTTGATATTTATGTTTCCTTACAAATATTAAAGTTGATTGACAGCACCAGTAAACTTTGGCCCACTGGAGATCTCAAAAGAGAAGGAGGATGCTTAAAAATAATTCCTTTAAAGTTCAGCTCTCTGGATTTTAGTGCTGCCTCATTCTAATCTTTTGTTGTCGTCGTCGTGCCTTTGTGCGTCATTGCTTCTTGAGGAGAGAAGATGAAATCGCGAGGGCTATTCATCAATTTTCCGCAATAAACGGATATTTTTCAGGGCCGTTAGATTAATCTAAGGCATCCCAAGGGTGCTTTTCTCCAAATAACAACTGGACTTTCTTGATTTTCCTTAGAAATGTCTCGCTTCTCATCCAAGAAGCTTCTTCAGTCCTAATTCCTCCCCACTCTCAGAGCTGAAACCACTAAGGTCATCCAGTCCAACCCTCAATCTTGTAATGATTGAGATAATAGAATAGAATAGAATAGAATAGAATAGAATAGAATAGAATAGAATAGAATAGGAAGGGACCTTGGAGGTCTTCTAGTCCAGCCTACACTATCTCAGACAGGTGAATGTCTAGTCTCTTCTTGAAAATCTCCAGTGATGGAGTGCCCATGATTTCTGGGGGCAAGCTATTCCACTGGTTAATTGTCCTCACTGTCAGGAAGTTTCTCCTTAATTCCAGGTTGCTTCTCTCCTTGATCAGTTTCCAACCATTGTTTCTCGTCCTTCCCTCTGGTGCTCTGGTGAACAGCCTGCCCCCCTCTGCCTTGTGGCAGCCCCTCAGATACTGGAATATTGCTATCCTGTCTCCCCNTCTTTTCTTTAGACTAGCCAAACCCAAGTCCCGCAGCCGTTCTTTGTACGTTTTGGTCTCCAGGCCTTTAATCATCTTAGTTGCTCTTCTCTGAATTTTTTCCAAATTCTCAACATCTTTTTTATGATATAGTGATCAAAATTGGCTGTAGTATTGCAGATGTGTGGTTGTTACCTCTTGTTCCATCCATTCTGGCTAATGGTGTTTTTCCCAAGGTGATACAGGTAGTCCTCGACTTACAACCGTTCATTTAGTGACTGTTCAAAGTTACAATGGCACTAAAAAAAGTGACTTGTGACCGTTTTTCACAGTTATGACCGTTGCAGCATCCCCACGGTCACGTGAACAAAATTCAGATGCTTGGAAGCTGGTTCATATTTATGACGGCTGCAGCGTCCCAGAGTCATGTGATCCCATTTTGCAACCTTCTGAGAAGCAAAGTCAAAGGGGAAGCCAGATTCACTTAACAACCTTGTTACTAACTTAACAAGTGCAGGGATTCACTTGTTCACAGCTGTGGCAGGAAAGGTCATGTAATGGGGCAAAACTCAGCAACGGAAATGTGGGACTCAGTTGTAGTCCTAAGTCGAGGACCACTGGTATTGGAATGGAGGCTGCATTTTTGAAAAGCGAGGACAGATAAACTGGAAGAATACCAGTGGGAGAGTTAAAGTTTGTCAGTTTCTTTGTTTCTTTGTAAAATTTATTGGCCACCAATCTTACCACAGGGTTAATGTTTGATCCACAGAATCAGAGACCTAGATAAATGGGGCTGAATTTAGATGACTTTTTCCCTCCTTCTTCTCTCCTCCATTAGGTGTCCTTTTCAGCATCGAAGTCACTTCCACGTTTTTTGCTGTCCGCAACTATTGGCGCGGCTTCTTCGCGGCCACCTTCAGCGCGTTCATCTTCCGGGTCCTTGCGGTGTGGAACAAAGATGAAGGTACGGTTGTGGTTTTTTCCTGCAGGAGCTCAGGAGTGGATTAAGTGGCATCAGGAGTAACCAGGATCTGGCCCAAGGGTATTGCCGAACCATTAAATAAAGTGCCTTGTACGTTTGGGGTGGAATTCTGAAACAATGGCCTGTATGTAAGGCAGAAGAGGTCATAGGTCATAATTTTTTTCCTCCCAACTTGTTGGGAGGCCTATTTTGGCTTATTTTGCTAAAAGCAGGATAGCTGACAACGAATCTTAAAATCCACCAATCAGAGTTGCTCAAACATCGTCAGCCAGCTGAGGAATTCTGGGAGATGAAGTCCACAAGTCTTAAAAGTTGCCAAATTTGGAGACCAGGGCACTGGTCATAAATACATGCCGGTGGTTAAGTACCCAAATTCTGATCATGTGACCACAGGGTCACATGATCAACGGTCATAAGTCACTTTTTTCAGGGCTGTTGTAAGTTCGAACGGTCGCTAAACGAATGGCTGTAAGTCAAGGATGTCAGAGCGTGCACAGTCTTATTGCGCTGAGATAACCCAGGAGTACACACAGTAAACAGTGATCTATAGTAAATGATGGTTTATCTTACACTATCTACAATATCATACACCAGGAACAATATACATCCAAGTGTTAATACAGCAGGCTATAACAAACTGCAGTTACGGCAGGAAACAGAAGAGAGAAAACACAGCAGCAGAGCCTTCCTTCCGTACAAAGGCTCTTAAAGAGACACAGATCCTGCTGGCTCTTAAAGGGACACAGACCTTGCTGAGTCATTCCCAACATTACATCATACATCTTACATCAGCTCGTTAGCTTTTAAATCATTACCTTGACAAAGGACTACCTGTACAGTCATAAATTGAGGACTGCCTGTATTCCTGGTACAGAGATCTGTACACCCTTTATCTGAATTGTCCCTCTTGTCCTGTCTCACTCCAGCTTGTTGTTTTTCCCTCAGAAACCATCACGGCTCTTTTCAAAACCCGCTTCCGGCTGGACTTCCCCTTTGATCTGCAAGAGCTGCCGGCTTTTGCAGTGATTGGGTGAGCATCACTGGCTTTTGTGGGGGGGACTCTCCTGCCTCTGGATGAGGACGCTTCCCCCTTCCCAAATCCGCCTTCCTTCTCCTCTCCCTGCTAACCCCTCTTCTCCCCCCCCTTAGGATCGCCAGTGGCTTCGGAGGAGCCCTCTTTGTCTACTTCAATCGCAAAATTGTGCAATTCATGCGTAAGCAGAAGACCATCAACCGTTTCCTGATGAAAAAGTAAGGCGCGCAAAGACCCAGGTTTGGGGTCAGGGCGGGTCTCATCCTGGACGCCCTAAGGGCCTTCCTATCGGAAAGTAGCCTAAGTAACTGGGTTGTGGGAAGACCTCAGGCTGGGGCTGGAAAAGGGGAAAGAGAAGAGAGGCTCTCTCCTTCCCTCCCTCTCTCTCTCTCCCTCCCTCTCTCTCTCTCTTCTCTTTTCTCTCTCTTCTCTCTCTCTTTCTCTCTCTCTCTCTTCTCTCTCTCTTTCTCCTCTATCCTCTCTCTCTCTCTTCTCCTCTCTCTTTCTCTCTCCTCTCTCCTCTCTCTTCTCTCTCTTTCTCTCTTCTCTCTTCTTTCTCTTCTCTCTTTTCTCTCTCCTCTCTCCTGTCTTCTCTCTCTCTCCTCTCTCCTCTCTCTCTCTTCTCTCTCTCCTCTCTCTCCTCTCTCTCTTTCTCCTCTCTCTCCTCTCTCTCTCTCTCTCTCTCTCTCTCTCTCTCACACACACACACACACACACACACAAACACACACACACACAAATACAAACACACAGACCAGAATGGGAAGGGATAGGGTTGGTAGCCTGGATAATAATAATAATAATAATAATAATAATAATAATAATAATAATAATAATAATAATAATAATAATAATAATAATAATAATAATAATGATGATGATGTTGGAAGGGACCTTGGAGGTAGGTCATCAAGTCCAACCCCCTGCTCAGGTAGGTAACCCTATACCATTTCGGACAAATATACTTTTTAAGACTTGCAAAATGCTATTAATATCACCTTACAATAAAGTAAAATGTGCTTATGTGGCCTTCTTTTCTATTTGGTCTACCTTACAAGGCTAACATCAATCTTACAAATCCCCTTTACAGCTTAAGAAACTAGCCACTTTCCCTGCCACCATTCCTCCTTTGGACTCAGTTGCCTTTGATCCGACCTTTCATTTGGCTGCATCTTTTGGGCTCCCAAGGCCATTCGCACTGTACTGTCACAGGGCATCTCCAAGGGTCTCCCCTTTTTTGGATCACTGGAGGGGCTTAAAGCTCCAGCCTTCTCTAGCCTCAAGCCCCCAGGGCAAGTAGAGGCTAGCTTTTGGTGGTCAAGCTTTTTGCATTTAACATCGAGGGAAGGACCCCCCCCCACAAGAGGGAGGCATCACTTCCCGTGTGTGGGTGAGGGTCTTCTTTTTTTAAAAAAATGTATCTTGTGATGCTAAAACTAGAGTTTCATTCTGGTCCCCCCCCTCCCGAAAAAGGCAAGAAACTAAGTAAGAGATGCCTCCATAAATGTAGGAAAAGAGCAGGCAAAGGTGGGGGCGGAGTTAAATGCATCATAAATTTAGAATCCTTATGTTGCCACAAACAGTCTAAGTAAGGGTGTCAAATTCAATTTCATTGAGGGCCGCATCAGCATTGCAGTTGCCCTCAGGGGGCTGGGTGGGGGTGGCCAGGGTGGGTGCGGCCTACTGGGTGGGCATGGAGGGAGTGGGTGTAGCCTACTGGGTGGGTGTGGCCAGCTCTACATAGTTCGCGTCAAGGGGGCCTGTGGGGGCCTGGGCAGGAGTGGGATAGATCTGAGGGACAAGAAGCAACGGATGGAAACTGACCAAAGAGAGAAGCAACCTAGAACTAAGCAGAAACTTCCTGACAGTTAGAACAATCAATCAGTGGAACAACCTGCCTCCAGAACTTGTGGATGCTCCAACACTGGAAGGTTTTAAGAAGAGACTGGATAGCCATTTGTCTGAAATGGTATAGGGTTTCCTGCCTGAGCAGGGGGTTGGACTAGATGACCTCCAAGGTCTCCTCCGACTTTATTATTACTATTACTATTACACCTTTAAGTGTACAGGCAGCACCTCTGGAGGGCACCAGAATGTGGAGCTGAAGAAGCAGGAAGCAAAATTGTGTTGTGTTTGTGCCATGTTAACCCTGTGCTGTTTTCTTGTGGTCTTGACAGGCGCTTGCTTTTTCCTGCTCTCGTCACCTTCCTCATAGCAACGCTGACTTTCCCACCTGGTTTCGGACAATTCATGGCAGGCCAGGTAAGTTTTGAGCCCCCAAAGTAGACTGTCCAATCAGGCGTCATGCTATCACAGGTAGTCCTCGGCTTACGGCCACAACGTGAGCCCAAACTTTCATTGTTAAGTGAGACAGTGGTTAGTTTTGAGTTTTCCGCTGTTATACAACCTTTCTTGCTACAGTTGCTAAGTGAATCACTGGAGTTCTTAAGTTAGTAACACCGTCGTTAAGTGAATCTGGCTCCCCCATTGACTTTTGCTTGTCAGAAGGTCCCAAAAGGGGATCACGTGACCCCGGGGATGCCGCAATCCGTCATAAATACGAGCCAGTTGCCAAGTGTCTAAATTTTGATCACATGACCATGGGGAGGCTGCCATGGTCGTAAGTGTGAAAAACGGTCATATTCACTTTTTTCAGTGCCGCTGTAACTTCAGACGGTCACTAAACGAACTGTTGTAAGTCAAGGGCTACCTGTACTGTTCCTCTTCTCCTTAGTTTTTCCATGTTTTGCTCTTTGATGCTCCGGGTGTAGAAGTGCGATGTTTACGCACAACAGAATATCAGCTAGTCCTCGACTTAACGACCGCAACTGAGCCCGAAATTTCTCTTGCTAAGCGAGACAGTGGTTCAGTGAGTTCTGCCTCCTTTTACGACCTTTCTTGCTTCAGTTGTTCAGTTAACAACACGGTTGTTAAGTGAAACTGGCTTCCCCCTTGACTTTGCTTGTCAGAAGGTCATAAAAAGGGATCACAGGACCCCGGGACACTGCAACTGTCATAAATATGAGTCAGTTGCCAAGCGTCTAAATTTTGATTATGTGATGCGGCAACAATTGTAACTTTGAACTGTCACTATATGAAGTGTCATAAGTCGAGGACTACCTGTAACAGAGTGGGACGGGATCTTGGAGGTCTTCTAGTCCAACCCCCTGCTCAAGCAGGAAACCCATTTACCCTTTCAGACACAAATGCTTGTCCAATCTCTTTTTAAACACCTCCAGTGTTCAAGCACCCACAACTTCTAGTGGCAAGTCGCTCCACTGGTTAATCTTCTGGAAATTGAATACAAAGTCCTGGCTGCTTGGAGTGTACAGTAGTGGCCAAAATTGTGGAATCCTTTTGGGAAGAAAAGTGTATTTTTGAGGTTTGATGGCTAATAACACCACTTTTTTTGTAGTACCATAAAATTATATATCAATGGAAATATAGTTTAATCAAGAATGTAATGCAACACAGCTTGTTCAATTATCTGTACTGTATTCTGTAAAAAGTTATAGCCAAATAACCAGAAAAAGGAAGCATAACTTGCTTAGGTTGATATCAGATAGCTTTCCTTCATCTGATTGTAGCCAATGAGCGTGAGTGCTTAGAGAGCCAATCAGGTGTCATCTTGTTTTGGCCATTTTTTATTTTTTTTTATTATTTATTATTAATTTGATTTATATACCGCCCTTCTCCCGAAGGACTCAGGGCGGTGCACAGCATATTAAAAACAAGTAACAATAAAATACCAAAATAAAATTAATAAATACCAAAATAAAAACCCCTCTAAGACCAAATTAAAAGCCAAATATTAGTAGCTGTGTCGTAATTAAAATTATATTAAAATCATCCCTAACTAA